AATTGTAATGTTTTCCTTACTTCTCAAGTCATCATTGATTCAACAGCAGCAACAAGAGGTGCGAACAACTGCAACAAAACATGAAGAAATAAATATATTTTAATATGAGATCATTTGTTATAAAGTAAACCCCTCGACTGGAAGCAGAAGCACAAAAAAACATAAAAGCGTTAGTATCGGTGAGCAACTAACTCGAACATAGACAGCACTACTTTGTAAGGGTTGCTTGGTAGACGATTTTGTGGATAAGTCAATTGAAGTAACTATACATTTACATATACTCCATTAACTCCGCGATTTGGTCACTGTCGTCAGTCCAGAAGATCAGAACATACTGACTAAAACGTCTTGTTAATACCGCTGTTTGCAAGTTCTCTCAAGTTTATTTATTCTCTCCGTTCCACCGTACAAAGCTTCAATTCACAGGATGATGGGCAAAATATCTAGGCTTTCATTTTCCAACAAGTCCCTGTGCACCGGACGACAGCTTGGCCCGCCGTTCTAATTGATACATGTATTAAACCATCACGACAATGGCACGCCATCGTGGTTTCTACTTTCAACCAACACTTCTTCAAAGTCACCGATGCGAAGGCTTGATCGGATCACTATCGTGTTTTTTTGGTAATTTAATGATGCAATGAAATACGCGTTTGAAATTACATGTACATTATATCGTTGACTTGAGTCTTTATAGCGCATGGATTTTTTTTGGTTCAAACACAAGTAGGCCTACGACACGCTTCTGATATCGAATGTGCGAACTGCAAATTCACTATCTGCTGAAACTCCCTGCTTGTTGTGGTAAGTAGTTTTACGTTAGGTTTTTCTTAGCCTGACCGTCTGTTACCCTAGACCAGTCTATGAAAAGGTTTCCTGGGTACACAAGGGCGTAATATGAACGTTTAAACACTGCCTATGGGGTACCGGAACAATGGGAGGTACCCCACAAGGAATGTCCACCGATTTGCGGGGTACCGTTTTGGTACTCCACATGTTTTTCACGAAATAGATATATGGATTTTACTCAAAAACTAGGAATTTCCAAGCTGGGTTGATTGGTCGCAAAAAGAAGAGTTTTAGAAAAGAGATATTAAGTCCGAATTTCAGCCCAGGAAATTAATTCTGGTTAAAATAAGAGCATTTTGAAATTAGTGTGCAACATCGCAAAATTTTAGTACACGAGAACAAAGAAAGTACCCCACTTCTACGCCTGTGTAAGGGTGTGTGTATGTGAGGGGGGGGGGGGGGGGTATATCCCCCCTGTGTATATCTAACACAGAACCGGATTGTGAATTAATGCGCATGGGTGTGTCTACATGTGTGTATAATTTTCTATTTATTTGCATAATTGTCCAATTGTAAAGATTATTGTCAATTTGTGTGGATTATTGCCTATTTTGCCGATTTGTCTTTTGCCCCCGAATGGCTGCCCATACCCCCCCCCACTTTACGCCACAGTGAGTACATAATAATTTCCCTACAAAAAATATATAGCTGTTCATAGATGTATATGAAACGAAATGAAAGCATATGTATAAAGAGAATTGCACAAATTTCCGTGGTTCCCCAACTGAGCCACGTAAAACTTACACGAAGTTTCTGTTATACATGTCCATATTTCGACGACAGTTTCATCCATATACTCACGTCTAACACAGAACAGTCTCTGTTATAATTTGAAAACACTACAAATATAAATCGTGTTAGATTTCACAGAAAACATAAGTATTTTGGATCTAAATACACATATTTAAGTTCGTTAGATTCCTTAATTGTTAATGTTTTATTTTATATAGATAACTATCATAATGTTGGGTGTGAAGTCCTTTCTGCTGTTTTCCTTGTTCATCAATGTCTTGGTGAGCGGGTACCAGGTAGAGCAGCGTTACTATTTGGAGGAACACGCCCGTCAAGGGGTACGTTTAGAGTCTGGTACCCAGGGAGGTCTCAAATTGCAGACTCCCTCCTCTAGTGATAATTATGCACACCGTAGAATACTAAAACAGTATTAAATTTTGAAACGGGAAAAAAATGTGATATGTATAGGCCTATAATAAGACAAAAGACTATCGTAAATTTGATATATCCTTGGAAGTTAAAGTATAGGCAAAGACCAAATTCAGCCACTTGTTATAGTGCTAACGTGTTTTGTATTCATGTGCCAAAAGTGATGTCAAATGCTGGTAGAAGTCCAGTGACACTCGGCCACAGCTTCTTTCAGTTTGTTTTTGTGTGTGTTAATTTCCTACATAAAGTTAGTGAATGCAGTGAGCATATTAATCAGCGCATACTACAAGTTTTGTCAGGTCACGTTAATTTTTCATGTGGAAGTCCAATAAAAATGGCACGGCAATGGCATCCCTCACGTTGACAGAGCTTGTATCGTTGGGCTGGATGATGGCGAAACATTGACGAGCGATGCATACCCTCGTGCCCTAAGGTTGTCTGCCACCGAGAGCTTTAACATCGCAATTGCATTCCAAAGGGAAGACATCACCCCGTTCACCGCTGCCGGTTTCTGGGCAGAAGGAACTAAATTTATACGATTTCCCGGCACAAGAGAATCCAAAGGTAGTGCACGTCTTCGATAAAGGATCTGGCGGTCTCATTCTACAGAAAACTAACAGATGCATTGTGATTGTTCACTACCCACATGGAGGCGACCGGATCTTTGCAAACAATGTTGTTCAATCAGCTGCTGAATATCTGGAATCAGAGGGATTGTAAAAAGGCACAGATGCATTCAAGGCACGTAGGTACATTTGCAAATATCCTGAAGGTGCCTATTAGTTCTTGCTCAAAGTCCTAGCTCAAAGTGAAGATAACACTATATTACGAAATAACCAGTGAAATTATTCTGCCTGAAATGGTATGATTCGAAAGAATAACAATCGCCTGTGCGTCGTGTCAACGCCTGCGCGTACCCATTCACGGACTCGTTTAATAACAATCCAACTATAATCGGAAATTTCCAAAATGGCGCCACTTGACGAACCTTTGTAAATTGCTTATTGTTTTCTTAAAAATGACAGCATGCCTGAAGTAATAATTTCACAGGGAGATTATTACCATTACTACCTTTAAACCAAGTAAGCTTTTCAACGATAATTTGGTCAGTTACTTTTTGGATAGCTGCATATGGGCTACTCTACCTTTAAAGATACAGTCCATCATTTTGCAACTATCGAAAAAGTAATTGACGTAATTATTGTTGAAAAGCATACTTGGTTCAAAGATAGTAATGAGACTAAACTCCCTGTGAACTTATTCTTTCTGGCAAGCTGTCATTTTGAAGAAAACAATAAAAGGCGGCCTTTCCAAAGGTGCGTCTAAAGACGCACCTTAAGACATTTCAAATGATGCGTCTCAAGACGTCTCAATTTTTTTTTCCACGAAACAAGCGCAAGCGTTGACAAGACGCGCGCGCAGTTGCTATAATTCGTCGGTTCAGTGCGCAACATCGCGTAGCTACAACCGGCTCAGTGAGAACGCGTCTCGGACGCTGAGTCTAGGCCCAATTCAAAACATGACTCAGCAATTTTTTTATTTGAAATCGAGATCCTAGAATATTGTATCGGAATATACAGCATTCAATGAGCTGAAACTGCATCAGGTTAGTTGTTCAGCACCCTTCTTTAGATTTTGAGCACTTTTGTTGCTTCAAACGAACATAATGCACAAATTACAAATGATGGACGCTACCTTTAAGAAGGCGAGGTGACACGGGACACGTTTGTAAAAAAAAATCACCGTAACATCAAAACGGAACTACCATTTCTAATTTTTTTGACAACACTGATCAATGGAGAAAAAAAATTAAAGCAGAATTCTAATTCATAACAGAATTCAGCCTTTTTTGTAATTAGGCCAATTTTGTAATTGGCCTAAATAGGTCATGATAATGCTCGGTCCATCTCCCAACCCGGTCACGAGAAGTACGGTGACCCAAAAACTTGCTAGTGTAAATCTTCAGTAGATTGAAAATGAGATTCGGTTGATCCCGGGAACGAGGTTGGGGCAGCTTCTTCCCCAAACGACGTTACAGTAAACTTCTTAAATTGAAAACCACGAAGCCACATTATAAATGAGACAATATTCCGGCTGAATTTGTTTTTAATGGCAAATTAGCTCAAATGTGCATAAAGCCATTAGTTCAATAATGTTTTAAAAAGCAAGCTTTCAAATACAGTTAATATTTCATCATATAGGTGATTAAAAACATACTTTAAAATGATTTTGAATACAATTAATACTCTTATTCAAAATACTTACAATTTGATAATTTTGGCAAGAGGCAAATTCTCCTACGTAAATAAACACAAGAAATTTCATAAAGAAATCAGTCATCGTATTGTGGGAATCTGGGGATTTCCCCGTCAGGTAACATTGGAACTTCATTTGCATATGACATTTTGACCCACCCACACGTGCTGAATTTGAGCGATTCACAAAGCAGTGCCCACCAAGAGTTTGGCCAACGATTACAATGTTTTGTTTGAAATATACCGACAAATACAATCTATGAAATTAAAAAGAAACACAAAGCGAACAATTTTTGACCTCCGAGCTTGCGGGATCGGATGGCTGGTACGAATGGGATGTACATTACCCCGACGCAAATTCAATCTTATTAATAGTTTCATAGCGGTACCCGCTGCTACATCCGATTCGAATCAGCCAACCGATCCTGCAAGCTCGATGGTCGATTGGTAAAACGTCTGCACTAGAAATCGGTGGGTTCAAGTCCCAACCAAGTGGTTTTCTCTTACTTTCACTAGAGAGGTAACACACTGAGTATACAGTGTTTATTAAATTTACATCACCCCGACTCAAATCTAATCTTATGAATATTTCAGATATCAATATGATAAAAAGCAAGTCTCTTGAAGGTTCTACACAACGGACATCGGGAAAAATACAAAATAATTTTTTTACTTTTGAAGAAACAAATTTAAATCTTCTTCCACTATTTAAAATAAAAATCTAATTGTAAAATACATGTATTCTGCTTAATTGTGCGGATTTTTTTTTTTATTAAAGCTGCAGATATTTCAGGGAAAAACAAACTTTTTATAAAGGCATGGATAAAGAGATGACGATTGTAGCTTGTGCAATACCCGTTTCGTTTCCCCCTGTCGTTTCGTTCCCTTGTCTTTAGACCTTAGCCAAAGCTTGCTCGAGATCCCGGATCAGGTCGTCCGCATTCTCTATGCCAACACTGAAAGAGAGAGAGAGAAAAAATACGTGAATTGTATCTGAGAAGTGGGCAGCAACTCTTGATTGAAAAAATCAAGATACATTGTATGGATCGAAAATTTGATATCGAAAATGACACAATGTTCGTAATGAAATTGGAGGTTCGGACACCCGCCCTTTAGATTGCTCAGAATTGCAAGGACAGTTGATGGGACATCTGGCTTGCTAGTAGATATATTCATGTTGGGTACGGATGCAATGTTATCGCTAATTGGACAAATTGTTTTGTAATAAGGGTATACCACCATTCCATATATAAATGGATGTGAATCAAATTAGGTTTTGCCCTTCACCGACGTATAAACACTGTATACTCAGTGTGTTACCTGCCGAGTAAAAGTTGAAAAAAAAATCGCTCGGGTGGGACTCGCACCCACGACCTCCTGCTTTCTAGTGCAGATGTCTTACCACTCCGTACCACCGAGCTAACGGGATCGGTTGGCTGGTTCGAATCTAACCCGCTGCTATGCACATTTGATTCGAACCAGCCAACCGATCCCGTTAGCTCGGTGGTCGAGGGGTAAGACATCTGCACTAGAAAGCAGGAGGTCTTGGGTTCGAGTCCCACCCGAGTAACTTCAACTCGGGAGGTAACACACTGAGTATACAGTGTTTATACGTCGGTGAAAGGCAAAACCTAATTTGATTTACATCACCCCGACACAAAAATCCCATCTTCTTAATGGATGTAAATCGGCGAGTTTGTCTATATACCATCAATTGCAAACAAAAAATGTCAGAACTGAATGTCCAAACTATCATTTTGCAAGAAAGCTACTTTTTGATAAAACTGGTGTAAGAACATCTAACTGCAATGGTACAGTAAAAAAAGTGCATGTAATCCTTGGGGGTTAAACAATAAAACCTTATAGGCATATAATAATGACGATATTACCTGAGTCTGACGAGGCCGTCTGATATGCCCCCTTTCTGCCTGTCTTCGGATGTCATGAGCTCAGGACCGTGGGTCATAGTGGCTGGATGCTCGATAAGGGACTCGACGGATCCAAGAGACACGGCAAGGGTGATCAGCTTCACCGACTGAAAAGTAAAGCGAATTATGACCTTGTCTATTCACTCTATTGATTTGAAGCGTACTACTGCTGCTGCTTTTGCTGTTGATGTTGTGGCTATCATTGCTGCTACTGCTAATGCTATACTGCTGTTGCTGTTGCTGCTGCTACTGCTGCTGCTGTTACTGCTGCTGCTGCTGCTTCTGCTGATGTTGCTACTGCTGCTGTTGCTGTTGTTGCTGCTGCTACTGTTTCAGCTGTTGTTGCTACTGCTGTTGTTGCTGCTGCTGCTGCTACTGCTGCTGTTGCTGTTGCTGTTGTTGTTGCTACCGCTCCCGCTACTGCTGTTGCTGATGCTGCTGCTGTTGCTACTGCTGCTGCTGCTACTGCTGTTAATGTTGCTGCTGCTGCTGTTACTGCTGTTGATGTTGCTGCTGCTGCTACTGCTGCTGCTGCCGCTGCTGCTGCTGCTGCTTATATAGCCTTTTTATCCCAAAAGTCTCATAACTAGGTGACCCAATGTAAAACAGCGCCCTCACCGAACTGGGCACCAACCCCAATGGGCAACCTTTTACTTCATGGTTCATTTTCTACAGAGTCTTTAGCATATGATACATTAAAAAAGTAATTTAATAAAACATAAGTTAATAGATAGAGCTAAAAAAGAAGTAAAAACATTGTAGACAATGTCCCTTTTAATACCTACATGTAAGGGAAGTAAATTAGTTATAATTTAGAGGTAAACATTTGATCACAACACTGGAGAATGACGCGGTGTTGGGATCACGTGTCCGTAAGGTCAAGGATGCAACATCCGCCTCGGTAAATGTACAGTGAAAGGGCGCTTGAATTGGTCTATACAGGGTGACCCCCTTCCCATGCAACCTTGAAACATTTGCCTTTTTCATAAACGTGATCTGTGAATTTGTATGTTTTTGATATCAGATTAGAGCTGAGAGGTTTTTTTTTCAAATACTGAGAAATAAATATGAAAACAACACATTGGGCCGGTAGGTGAGAAAATGCCAATTATGGAACAAAACTCCTTTTTGGTCAATTTCAATGACATTACCACAGATACGAGATTCATGCTGTACCTATTTGTTCATGAAATGCATGTAGCGCAGTGTGTCCCAGTAATCCTTACATAATACGAAAAGAGTACAAATGCATTTGACAGAAATACCTTTTATTTTCTAAATGAACAGGTATGTTATCCTTTTTAGTCCTTATTTTAAGCCCTTTTAGCATCATAAATACGTCAAAATATTAAACAAAATTGGACAAATAAATGAACGCTAGTTAATTGTGGTAATGCCCTTGGAATGGACCCAAAATGAGTTGTGTTTACATAATTGGTATTTACTAAGCGACCCGATGTGCTGTTTTGAAGATTTTAATCAGTATTTGAAATACAACATTATCAGCTTTAATCTGATATCCAAATTACAAAAATTCTCAGGGCACGTTTTTGAAGAAAAAAAATGCAAATGTTTCACGGTTGCATATCTTGGGTCACCCTGTATACAGAGCATGTTGGATATTTGCTGTCTCGTGTTGGACAGGAACTTACATCGACCAGTGTCTTAGCGCCTTGCAGTCCGTCTGCAACCTCGAAGACGACCATTCCACCAAAGGCTGACATCTGTTTCTTAGCTACCTCGTGTTGGGGATGGGACGGTAGGCCAGGGTAGTACACCTTGCTGATCTGAGGAAATGTCACCAAAAGGTATGTGGTAAGCTGTCCAGGCAAATTGATGATCATAAAACGAAGACAGCCAATGAACTTTAATTACCTTGGGATGTTGCTCTAAATATTGCGCAATCTTCAGTCCGTTGTGGCTGTGCTTCTCCATTCGTAGGGGCAGTGTGCGCACACCGCGCAGCAGCAGGAAAGCATCGAACGGCGACTGCAAGCAAAAGTTGGAATTCAGTAGGCTGGTATTTTCGTAACTTTCAATAAACTTAGACTATTCCAAATACATGGATATCAGCAACCGAGTTGCAACCAAGGGCGGATCCGGGGGGGGGGGGGGCCCAAAGGGGGCCATGGCCCCCCCCCCCCCAAAAAAAAATGAAACGATTTTTTTTTTTTTTATGTGACATCGCAATAAAGGCAGGCAATGAGTACACCACCATCATTTCCTCAAAAAAAAACCATTGGTTAAAGTGGTCTGAGTTAACTTGGTTAAATTGCCTCAGATCGCACCACAGAGCATCTAGAATCCAAAAAATTTCGGGGCCCTTAGGCCCCGAACCCCACGCCGTAATTTTTTTGACCCACTACTTTGGGTGACGAATTTTTTTTGGCCCCCCCAAAAGTTGTGTTCTGGATCCGCCCTTGGTTGCAACCAAGTCACTTAAAAGCCGTCAGAAGTCAACCACATTATCACCCAGTCTCAAGTCAAGCTATTCAAATGAACTGACGAACTGTGACAGAGGAATTCCTTTGCCACTGGTCATCTCCTGCCAAATTGCCAAACAAAACAGGAAACATGAGCTACTTCATGCTGAAAATGTCCCCAAGTTCTAATCGTCCAGGTTTGCATTCTGGATTCTGGCAATAATATTAAAGCCCTGTAGTAAAAACAATTAATTGATTGCAAGTTTTGAAAACAGCCCAGATGGGATTCGGACCCGCTGCTAAAAGACACTTCGAACAAAGTGACTTACCAGACAGCATCCCGTCTGCTTCAGAAACTCACCGACCCCAAACAGAATCTCCTCATCCCTAGTGCTCATAGAACCAGCCAAGATGTCACTATGACCTCCTATGTATTTGGTACTGGGGACATGACCAGAAAACAAATGGACACCATACAGGAATGGTAAAAGGCACTATGTGACCACTCACCAGAGCTGCTGTGTAGGCAACTGGTTTTCGTAAATGCAGTACTTTGTATACCACCTCACCGATATAGATAATGTATCTTGATTGGCTGATGGCATTAACTTTCACATGGCATGCACTATTTTTTACTCTCTTGTTGTGCCCAGCCCAAAAGACTAGACAATGGTTGCCTCGGTCTGAAAACAGTACTATACGCATCACCAACGTAGCAACCAGAGGTATGTGTGCACATGCATGGGTACGGGTGTGCGCGTTGCAGGTATCGTTCCAACGTGCTAGAGAGTTGGTTTCAAACATTCCATGAAGGGGTAGTTTGGAAAAGTGCAAGTAAATTTTAAAGTAATTTCATATTGTAATAGAAGTACATTTTTGAATGGAGTTTGGTTAAATTTATCAGATATCTCTGAAAATCAAACAGAGTCTGTAGGTGAGGCAATATAAAACAAATACTGACTGCTTTAACTCGTGGTGTAGTAAAACTAGCCTCCCTCAGTGATCAATGGAGTGTTCCATTTCCAGAGCTATACGCTCCGTAGATCACCTCGGGATGCTGGTTTTTACCACACCACTCGAAGCAGTAAATATTTGTATAGTATTCTTCTTCCGAATGATCATAAATCTGCAGCATCGTCGCTTGGGCACCCTGCATACAGCATCAATGACATTCAAGCATCCTCCACATCTCATTGTTACTACTAATAAGATGGTTTTTCAGCTCACTTTAACTGACATTTTGTGGGGTTTTGGAGCCGTACGTACTTCTGAATTTGTATACCCTTACAAGGCTATTTGCCAGGACCCTTCCTGTATTCTCCAAAATCTTACATACTGCTGTAAACTAGAGATACTGAAGAAGAAAAAAAAACCCAGCATGGACATGGCAAGACAAATAGCTTGAATTCTCAGAACAAAAAACAGCAAAATATGTTAAATGTTAAACTTTATTTAAACTTTTGTGGACTATACACACTTAATATCTAGTTCGTTTCAAGTCAGATTTGAAAGTATAACTAAAATGATTGGGGGAACATAGCAACTTCGTACAAAATACTAAGCATGCGATTGATGTGTGTAAACCGAAACAAGTAGGAAATAAACAATGAAACAAGTAAGCGTCTGTCCCTTACCAACTTTGTATGGAAATATCCACTCCGAGCTCTAGAGGGCGCTGCAGATACGGTGAGCCGAAGGTGGAGTCCACTATGCTGATCGCCGAGGGAACGGTCCTGGCGGCATCGGCAAAGGCCTTCAAGTCAAGGACGCCCAAGCAGGGATTGCATGGGGTCTCACCGTAAAATATCTGAGGGAAAAAACCAGCAATGCAAGGAATGTTTTGATGTACATTTGTAACTGTTTCAGTTTGGCTCACTATGCAAAGTGTGTTTTCCCTGAAACAACTGTTAATGAAGTCCGTGGAGAAATATCTGAACAGTCTATGGAATACTGAATATATTTGATACTCTTGAATTTTTTATTTGGATTATAAAATATGGTAGTGATTTTTTTTCAACAACAGAGAAGCATGTTCTGTAAACTAGAGTTTGCCAAAAAAGTGCAACATTTAGAAAACAAATAATTAAACTGTTTAATTTTTTCCCGTAATTCAATTATATATTACTTTAAGGCCTGACTATTTCTCAATCCACTCCTTTTTACCCCATTCCATTTGGGTCCCTAGATCCAGAAATACAATCAATTAAGTGCAAGGGTGTACATTTTACTTGTGCCACTCTCACCTGGACATGCAGAATCTGGGTTAAATAGGCATTGAATACACCCATGGGCGTCGCCAGGATTTTTTTTTCGGGGGGGGGGGGTCAAAGCACATTTACCCCAAAAAATCCTTGTACTTTTCGTGGCATATCCCAGCCAACTCCCATTGACACCCCTGCAGACGCCCATTTTATTCAATGTGTATTATATTAAAAGCAAATATGACTTCACACCTCTTTTTTGGTTACTTTGTTGTTAATTTCTTCCGTGTTTTATTTTTTTTTGCTTTTCCGAAGGGGGGGGGGGGCGCCCCGCTTGCCCCATACTGGTGACGCCCATGGTGACATCACAAATGAGAGTGGCCCAAGTAGGGGGTGAATTAAGAAATACTCAGGTTTTAATGTAATATATAATTTTACTGAAGAAAAAAACGGTTAACAGTTTTAATTATTTGTTTTCTGAATGTTGCACTTTTTTGAGCAAACTCTGTATTTTAGTAGCTGAAACTTTAATTCATCAAATGCTACAAGCAGGAGATGTTTTTATATGCATGTTTTGTGCACTGTACATTTACAATACGTTGCTGAAAGGCAGCCCCGAATTTTTCTTCCAGTAATATGGAATTTGATTTTTTGCTCAAACAGAAATTTGAAAACTCAAATTGAAACGCTCAAATTGACTCAGCACTGTTGAGGTGAAAAAATAATTCATCTCAAATTGATTTCTATTTCCGTTACAAACCTAAAACACGAGAAAAATACATGAGCCACATGTGATGAAACCCTTGAAATAAAAGGAGAATAAAAGAAAATACGGGACACATATCGTTGATAATCACCTTGGTGTTTGGTTTGATAGCATTTTTGTACCCCTCAATGTCGCATGCTTTGACGAACGTCACCTCAATGCCGTAGTTTGGCAGCATGCTTTTCATCAAGGCATACGTACCAGAGTACACAGGATCTGGCGCAATCTGAGATGGAGGGGCACAAAAAACAATGAAAAGATTAGCCAACGAGAAAAGGTTGCCATGGGTCGGTTTTAAGATAGAAATGAAGTGTCAACCTAAAGCACCTTTGACCGAAGCCAATGATATCAAGAGTTGTCAGCGCTTCGGTTATACAGGTTGTCCAACAAAAACACCTTAACAGTCGAATGGGACATGTTTTCAGAAACTAGGGGTCGTATTCAACATCGTGTCTAATATATTGCCGAGTAGGTTTAGTTGGTTTCATTAGGATGTTTAGTTCAAAAGATACAGCAATCACAAATCGGGACTTGAAAAAAACACTTGGGCCCGCTTTTTTATTTATCAAGTTTACAGATCGATGCCGGTAGACTAAGTCACCAATTACTCTTGAACAAAGGAAATAAATCCTTTGTGTGTTTCTCTAACTGCGCTTTCTCACTTTCAAGGAAAGTTTCCCAAGACGATTTTCAACCTTTGAGTTTGATGAAGCATAGCGTTTGTTTCAATGCATCAATTTGAATGAAATTGATATGGTAAGTTGGTTATTTGACTTTAAGAGGTAATTTGAAAATATTCTAAAACTCACATGCAATATACCTTTATTAATTGGTTTTCGACTGGTTCTTTTTGGGACAAGCTGGATACCTGTTTTGTACATATCTTATACAGTTGAAATCAGACAACAGGAACATTCAATATTTATTACAAAATGCTACAATCGAATATGTAATCGAATAATGAATGTTTTGCATTCGTGCTTTGGTGGAAATATTATCATTCGTTGAAAGATGGAATGTTCCATTCAACTCGGCTTCACCTCGTTGAATGGATCATCTTTCAACTCATGAAAATATTCTCACTATTGCACTCATAAACATTCATTATTTGTATACTAATGCACGATTTGTTAGTTATATCTCAAGCACTGCACTCTTAACACTTTTTTTTCGTTTCCCCTCAACTTGATACTTTGCTTTATAGTTGCCTGGGGAAAGGTACATATTTTGAATTTGAAGGATAAACAGGATTTTGAAGGAATGTAGGATGAAGTTACAACATTTCTCCTTAAAAATTGCCAAACCCCAAAACAGCCCCTTAAGGACTGGTGTATATCTCCTCTAAGTGAAATAACCATCAGTGCAATGTGAAGTATGATTCCTAAGCTTTCGAAGGTTAAACACACTCAGGTCTACATCAAATGATTAGGTCTACATCAAAGGGCCACACACAGGTCTACATCAAAGGCCATTATGTCGATAGTGTATTACCACATGGTCGCCGGTTTTCAGCAGGGTCAGTAGAGTGGTTGTAATGGCTCCCATGCCGCAGGAGAACACCAACGTGCCAACACCGCCCTCAAGTGTATTGATGGCGTGAGCGGCTGACTCGCAGGAGTGGTTCGCGTTCCTGCTGTAGATATAGCCGTCCTGAGAACGAATAAACCAGACATGCACTCACTATTAATAAGCCTATATTTTTTTGAGGGGGAGGGGAGATGGCTATTTAGGTCTGCTTTTCTCTTTTCTTCGGCGCTCCAGTTTTTTTGAACTTCGAAATCAATTATTGTCCACATATTTATAAGCAAGCAAAGAACTGCTCCGACAATCAAACTCAATATTTTGTTGCATAATGGTCGATGCCACACAATAAACACACTGTGTGTCCCTTTTTTTTATCTAAACCTTTTTACTTAGAATATTTATTTGGAAAGCAAAATTCAAAGATATGCAAAACATGAATTTGGTTAATTCATTTACCACACGTGTATAATTATGCCTTGACATGAAACCATTTTACAGTAGCGAATTAAACTAAAGTTTCAATATTCAATTGACACAAACTTACAGAAAGGTACTGCTTACGTTATTAAAAAAAATACATATTTTTTTGCGTGTTGCTATTTTCTGTGACTTTTTTGGCTATTTATTATTTTTTTTGGGGGGGGGGAGGGGAAGGGGGTTGTAAAAATTTTTGCAAACTGGGCCAGAATACGTTTGAAATGGCACTGTCTGGGAGAAAAACGTGTTTTTTTTCTTTTCTCAACCAAATCATTTTATCTGCCGTTCGCCAATGACTTTGTCCGCATGTTTCGATTGAGTACATGAACTATTTCCTGAGAACGCCAGATCATGTTCTGCAAATAAATGTCCAAAAAACTCAAATACCACGAGCAAAGTCATCAAACATGATTAAATACCACTTAAATGATAACTAATGGAAAAAAGAAAGATTTAAAGGCCAGATGTACTGAAAACATAAAAAAGTAAAACTTAAGTTGAAAGGAACGACTACATGAATACTGTACAAGCCCCACAAAACTTAAACAATTATTCTTTCAGTAGCCTATACTTTACGTAAGTGTAATTTGACCCAGATATTACAAACATAAATTTGCATTAGTTGTCCTTATAAAGGACAATGACACATCTCTCCTTGGGGTCATGGCGTTTCGTCTTACAATTCGCAACCAAATTTCATGGCACTGCACAGCTTTGCTACAAGGTACTGCGACAGTTACAAATTGACAGGAGACTAAACCTAGCTCTGAATAACTTACTCTTAAACATTCCACGACCTCATCCACTTTGCTGATGCTGAAGGTCGTGGCCACACTGATGGATGGCACCAGGGGCGTTGTCAACTCCAGGCCCTTCAGCTTGGACTGGGAGCACACGGCCTTCGTCTCAAGACGTGTCTCCGAGTCAAAACTGCGCATCTCCTCATCCCGACGCAGCTCTGTTTTCGGGTCCTTGACTCCGCCTGAATCTTGGAAGCTGGAGGGAACCCTCTGAGGTTTTGGAGCATTTTCCATTCTTGGGGTTTCTGGAATGTGCCTGATGTTGCGGACGTGAAAACAATTATGTATTCCATTTGTTTTGCCTTTTTGGCAAATGTCTTTCTCTTAAACGTTCAATACTTAAATATTACACTCATCATTACAACACACACGCCAAAGCAAATGCGGCAAAATTGAATGTCGATCGTACTTTATGAATTATGCATTTCGAAACATGACTGTATTAAGTAAATTGAGGGCGCACTGTTAGCAACCAAATACAACGAAGAAAAATCCGGTTCGCTGAAAATCTGTCAGGTTTTCGCTCCAAATTTTTGATTATCCCAATCACGGTTTCAATAGTGGGTGCTAAAGGCAGTCTCTTTGTAGCTGATGTGCTTCGTGGGATAATGAATAGTTCAGATATTTCGGGGGACTTATCGAACAAAGACAATAAAGAAAATGTCTGTTTGGTCAGATCAAGGCGCCCCCTGGCCGATTGCCGTAGATTTGTGTTGTTTATTTACCTCTTAATTTCTTTTTTCCACTGACATCTTTTTCAAAGCTGCAAACAATAGAAACTTTACGACTGCACCCAGCTATTGGTGGCGGAGTTAATAAGCGTGGCATTCCGATAGTTGAAAGAAAAACAAACAAACCTAATGACTTTCCCAAAGTAATCTAATAGTTTCATTCTCGTATTAAACTATAACTAAACTGGAAACCAACAAAGCCTGGCCTGATGTGAAGAATTAACAACGTCACCCTGAGGTCGCAGCTTAGTGCTATAGCGCCGATTTGTTGAAAGTACGATTGCGCGTTCAAGAGTATACAGGTTGCCCCCAAAATGTCCCTGTAGAGGGTTTACAGAATTCTCCTAATTTGTGAAAAAAAATTCAAACTCAATTATGGAATTGATCAGCCGAAACAAATTTTCATTGGATTCGGTTCAGTGGTTTTGAAACAAAGGCAATTATGTAACTCCAGTCCAGTTTGCTCCATTCCAATTTTGACAATACATACATTGAGAGCGTTCACAATGTGTTTCTGTTTTCTCAGGCCTGCCCCTGCTCGATGTTCTGATTAACTTTGAACGGTTTTAAGAGGTGTTTGAGACACTCCTTTGTTATAATTAAAGAAGATATTTTATGTACGTAACAAATAGCCACAGTCAACAATGAGAAATGTCAATAAAAGTATGCCTCCTGTTTAGTTTAGTAATTTAATCAAAAAGCCAATTTAAGATAAAGGTGCTTGAAATTATGCAAAACAGTACTGTGTTACATACTAGCCTTTATTCGGAAACAGGTGAACCGCATCCGATGGAAATTTTACAGAAAAGAGTACAATAAATATGATTCACAATTTGTAAGAAAAGTAGAAATAACATTAAATTTTTCCCCTCAAATTCTGCTGCAATCCTGAGAGGGACATTTTTTTTTATTGGGGTCACCCTGTACAATGTATTGTCAAATATGGAGTGGACTAGTGTTACACATGGCCTTTGTTTCAAAACCACTAAACCGAATCCGACAAAAACAAGAACAAAATATTTGGGCTCATCAATTCTATAATTGAATTTGAAATTTGTTTTCATAAATTACGAGAATTCTGTAGAATCTCCACTGAAACTACACCACGAGATAAAACAGTCAATATTTGTTTATAATTAATTAAATATTTGATTTTTAATTATTAGGATTTGGGATATTTCAATCTTCTTGTAGATGGCTGTTGGAGCAGGACAGTAGACCTGCATAAATTTGACGTCCTGAACAAGAGAGGGCGCTATTTGTGAAGTGCGTGCAGTTCAGTAAATAGCTAGCTGTGTGTCAACAAACATGGAGTGATACCATAATTTGCACGACACATGTGAGCTTGAGTCATTTCAAGCTACAATCCCGGCCAAAATGGTTTGGAAATAACCTTAGCCTCCAACGGTCACCAACTCCCCCCCCCTCCCCCGGTCAATGTTGTTCTCTTCAGCGGATGGAGCACACACCGCGCAATGACAGACAATGTTGTTCTCTTCAGCGGATGGAGCACACACCGCGCAATGAGAGACAACATTGAGCGGGGGCTGGGGGGTTGGGGGCCCAGCGAGATTTGGCCAGGATTGTAGACTGGGTCCAACCCGGGTAGGGTAGCTGTACCGATTCATCCTGACTGGGCGGAACGGGAGCTGCACTACGACCGGGAAACGTAAGCGCCAGTGGTCCACAGTACCGGTACTACCTAACTACGCACGGGACTGACCCCGACGGCCATCTCATACAGACACACACCCCGGAAATGCCGGAGCTGTGAATGGACCCAAATCGGTAACTGTCGTTACATCATTGTGATAACATTCTGAGACAGAGTATGATTCTTGATCGCCATTGTGGAATATTATTATCCTAGTTGCAAGATTTGAGTTTTGTTTATACTTTTGTGAGCTTGTCAAATATTTTGTTTGAGTAGAACAACCCTTTCTATTTTGTATTTGTTTTGCAGCCTGTGCTAGCTTCACATTATCTGCCAATTATGTTATTACCCACGAATACAGATCACAACATGTGAAGGTATATAAATGCATGTGCATGTATACAGTTAATTTCTGGTTTTGAGTTATTTGGTTGTAACTGCATGGTTTTCTTTTCCCTGTTTTCTGGTTCATTGTGATTAATTATACTTTGCTATTTATGACTGCACTGCTTTAACTTGGTTTGGAGATTTCTTTTGCATGTTTTGCAGTTGAGCGTCTGTGAAGTAATTGAGTTGAGACTTTGCTTTTGAGATATTAATTTGTGCATGTCCTCAGTTACTATTTAAATATTTTGGTCATTTATTTTGTTATTTATAATACTGATAATTCAACTTCGTTCATTTAATTTGGTTGATTGTTTATTTGTTTCTTTGATTGGTTTTGGTTTAGTTCTTTTGTTATAAATAGTTATTATAATTCATGGAAAAATTTCCGTACTCGGCCACAACTTTTTTTCAATTAATTTTCAAGCGCCAAAAGTTGTATCCTTTAAGGTTATTCCCTCCACTTTCCCATCTCACCCTCTTCTTTCCTTATTTCTATTTATTTATCAGTCACTTACTTCATCGAGATTCGAACCTCGGACTCTTGCTTGCAACACGAGACTCTTAACCGGTTGTCCGCGCACGATCGCTGTTGCGATAATCATTCTTTGGACGTATTTGAAGTAGCCATTGAAATAAACTAAATATTCATGAGAAAATAAATATTCATAATGACGTATTTCACTATCATTGGCCGGCTCGTGCGACGTCATGGTTGTCGATGTCATGCGTATGACGTACCACTGTCTGTCAGCCACTTAATCAGTTTTGACCGGCTGCTTCAACTTAGTTCTGCACGACGGGTGCATCCAAAATGGGCTCTAAAAACACATTTTGCCTAATATTTTTTTCTCGCATTAACACAGCTTCCTGGATTTCTCTTGGGTGAAATCACAAGGTAAGGTGAAAATTGATGTGTTTAGCGGCAGGTAAAGTTGTGGCCGAGTATGGACATTTTCCCTAATTCATTTGAATTGATTTGTCCTTGTTGATCATGTCTTTCATCCCGGGGTGGACTAGCGACCCAGAGCCAAATCTTTTGCTCCCCTTTCCTTTTGGGGGATTTCTGTCTTCGCATGATAATGACCCCAAAGGTCATCAAAAGTTCGCCCACGTACAGCGCGCACGTGAGCGTAATGCTGTATAGAAGCAACGCCTCACAATGTGTACAAGTACAAATTGAATACAAAATCTACGTGTACAAGTTGTCACACGCGGGTTCTGTGAATCAAAGTTTAGGCAACAACAGTTATCCAAAACCAATGCAAATTGGTCTAATCCAAGATTAATCCTAAGTTTCAGTTACTTCTGTGATCCTTTACGATACACACTGTTCATTCATTTTACCCAAATCATGATTTAAAAGCAACATAAAAACGGGCTATTTACCGGATCGTTTCTGGCTATCCTGCACTTATTTCAGGTAGAGTGCATAAGAGAACTGTACTTTCTAAAAAGGTCGCCCTCTTGGGCTCAGAGGTTGACACTCAAAGTGGGAACCTCACATTATTATGAAATGTGATACTGCATATTGGTGGGATAAGATTGTAACATTTTTACATTCGAAAACAATCATATTTTCGTAACTCGGCGCGACGAATCGATTATGTGTTTACCCCAGCCACCGCATACAAAAACAAACGCTAATGTAATGCAAATGCAGACACATGACTTTTCCTGATTTGCAGACGTGTTCAAAAATCGCTCACATGCAAATGATCCAATACCAGGGTGAGAGACAGGCCCGTAGGAAGCTAACATTTATTGGTCAGGCTCATCTCAGGGCAGGGAGCTCAGTTGATGCGAGCGCGTAGCGCGAAGCCCTAACGGCGTCGGGTTAGAGGCCCGCTTAAGGGCCCCGAAATTGTTTGGATGCCAGACGCTCTGTGGTGCGATCTGAGGCAATTTCTGACCATTGTAACCTTTTTTTTTTTAGCTATCATCAATTAAACATCATTTTGAAGTTTGGAGTCAATTATCTTTTTATAATTTTTTTTTTGCGTGAGAAATCCCATGTCGGCGTTAAAGCATGAGAATAACCTGAAATGTGTGAGTCTTACGCTCAATGTGTTAGAGTTGGCAGGCCTGCAGAGGCGGATCCAGGATTTGACCCAATCCCTCCCAAATATAACCAAAAGCCACTCCCCCCCCAACACTATGCATGTATACAGGGAATTTTATTCTTCGTAATTTGTACAAGACACATTTTGGAGCACTGCACAACTGCAAGTTTAACCAGTATATGTCACTTGATGAACTTTACATAAATCGTCAAAATTAATTCGTCAAAATTTAGCCTATCGTAGTGAAAAGTTTTGGACATTTGCTCATCGCAAAACTTTTTTTGGATCTAGATGCTCTGTAGTGCAATCTGAGGCATTTCCTGGCCGCTTTCCCCTGACTTTTTGAATGAAATGTATTCGTGTTTTAGTGGGTGGGTCATCAAAGATGATAAATTACATCACAAGCATCACATCAAAACTGTA